GAGCACCATGGCTACAACCGATGGACGCATCGACATCGAGGTCGACATCAATATCAACATGATCATCATTATCAATATCAGTATTATCACCACCGCCGCCAGTACCACGCCCCTCACAAGGATTTTCGCCCGGAATTGGCGGTTTCCTTTACAGCGGAGATTCCYAACTTTTGGGAAGACAGTCGTGTCTTGGACTGTCTGAATTACCAGCTCGCGTGGGACAGCCGCAATCGCACATCGAAGCCAGTGGTGATCTGCAGGCGGAGCTCAACCGTTAACGAAAGGGAAGTGGAGTATTACGTCGAACTGTACGACGAGAAAATCAGAGAAATATTCCTGGAACTCAACGGTGTCAACATTCGTTCCGGATCGTTGGTGTTCCGCCCTCGGATAGAGCCGTGGCAAAACGCAGACCAGCAGCAGCAAGAACAACATCAACAACAAGAACAGGGATCGCACTCGTCGCAACGCAGAGACGAGTCTGTTGAAAAAAACAGCAGTAGTATTGCTAGTCTAAACAATAACAACAGTGGGAATATGCAGCAGGATTCTCCGGAAGATGAAAAACAGAATGACAAAAATGATGCGATAAAATGGAACACAGATCCCGAAAAAAGTGGAGACGACATGTCTATGGGTAGTGACAGCAGTAGTATAATTGCTAGTATTGACAATGACAAAAACAGGAACTCGCGGCATGATTGTTCGCAAGATGAGCCAAAAGACATTAATAATGAAATAATTGAAAGGAAGATTGATAAAGAAAAAGATAGCGACGGTTCTAGCGAGAGACCTTCAAAGCGTGCCAGGACAACATCCCTTTCAGAACAAAACACCGAAGATACCTCATCTACTTCCACATCTGCTGATATAATATCTACAGGACAAGAAGTGCACGCAAATAAGATAAATGCTTCTAGTAACGCTCCCGATGCTTCATCGCCACGATTGAAAAGAAAGAAAAGTATCGAAAACAGCAATTGCAAATTACTTCTGACAACCATGCCGAATAAATACAATGCAGAGTCKTTTCGGAAGTATTTAAACAGCCACTTGATAGATACAAAGATAGTCGATGAYATCAGCAGCGAATYACCCATCTTAGAATGCTACTGTGACCGCGACAATTGGGTATTGACGACAAGGACGGAAGAAATTAGAGACATCATCATGAATTCCGTCAGTGGCACATTAACTCTCACTGGAACAAAAGTTTACTTCAAACGACACCCAGAATACCATTTTTCAAGAGAAGGTACTAGCAATAAACGTCATCGCATTCCATCATCACCATCTCCATCACCAACATCATCGCAATCGACCGGGTGCAGAAACAATAGAGAAGACATGACTCAGTCGTTGCCACTCCCGTCTTGGAGCAATGTGGACTGTATAATCCATGCGTCAAATAAGTCAAAAGACGTGTCATGGCAAGAGGTCGCTTCCTTTATCATATGCTACATCAGAGGATATACCACTCTTGCCAACGAAGATGTGATCATCGACACAGCCAGGTTCACACCGATTGAAGAGAMGCAGAGCTTTCTTTGCAGCTCCGCAGTCGCGGCCCAAACTATTGTCACCAAAATCAACGGGATTGATCTGAGAGGCTCTAAACTCTCACTGAACCGCCATCCGAAGTTTCGGCAGGATGTTCCACCAGTCGACACCGATACAAACGATCCTACGAGACCGATTATGGACGAATKCCCGGGTAGCAGAGGGAGCACTAAAGACGACGATCTTGCTTCTGTTGAAGAAGGTGAGATGAAAAAAACACAGCAAGATTCAYCACTTAGACGAGGAGAAAACGATAAGACACAGAAGGCATCGGACAACTCCTATGATAAAAGTCCACCAATCGCTCAATCGGAAGAGCGACAGTGGCAAGCAATAGATACAGAACTAACAATGTTGAACGAAAATGAAGAAGAAAGAAGGTGCGACGCTGAACACAACAATGTAAACCCTCTCGCTCAGGATGCAATCATTCACTGTACTGCTGACCAACCGATTGAAATGGGGCTATCGAATGACGAACGATCTAGAAAGATATCTGGTAAAACTGAATATGACAAAATTAAAAGCCAGTACGATACTACATTGTTGGAGCTTGAAAAGTCAAAGATTGAAAATATTCGAAAAGATAAACAGATAATCATTTTGAATAATATAAGTCAAGTAATTGAAAAGCGGATTGAAAGTGAGAAAAAGGAAGCAAAAGAAGACTACGAACGAAGATTACACGAGATCCAGCTCAAAAAGAAAGAACAAAGTCTTAAGATCGAGGAACAACAAGAGATAATCCAAAATTTGAAGGCTGATGCCGAAAAGGCACGTAATGAGATCAAAGGACTCTATTCAAAACTGCAAGGCCTCCAAGGTAGATATCAGGAGATGACGGATGCAMTGACTTGTGCAACAAAAATGTGTGAAGAGGAGAGGGAGGCTAGAAGACAATTAACCGTAGATGTCATTGGGTTCAAGAAGGCCAAGAAAGCAGCAGAAAGAAAGCTCAAGGCCCTCAAGAGTCTTGCTGACTCGAAAGGGACAGTTGGTGCTAAGGGTGGAGATTTGGAACTCGACTCAGAAGAACCTACCGCTAAAGAATTCAAGTCTCGTGCTCTTTCAGTTGGTGATGTTGTCCTTGCTAATAGCACACAATTGGGGTACAAAGATAAGCTGATCATCACTTCGGTTAATCCTAACGGCACATATAGATCAAGAGATTTTGTGACTCTGCGAAAAAGAAAGACATTACTGAAAGAGTCAGACATTATTGAAGTCSTTGGAAAAGAATCCGAGTACGTATCATAAGTCGCAATCAAAACACGCACGGTCTATTATCAAAAACGTGGTTGGTTCGGTAACACACCATYGTGTCACCGAGGGATACATTAATKGTGTTTCATTAAGCAAATCAAAGCYTGCCGCATGGCAAMGTAACATCAAAAGGTTGTCATTTCAGGGGTTAYCATGGCGTGCATCTATTATCGAAGACGACTAAGTTAAAATGAGGTGCCCATTTTTATTTTSTAGCGAACACTGAAATTCCTTTTATTACAATTGCATCGTTATGTCCATCAAATACCAAAGATGCTTTAACTTATCTTTGCCTTGACTCGGCATATATTTAGATCAGAGATGTTGTGTGTAGTATTTGAAGCCAAGTGTTTCCAAGATGGAAGTGGATTAGGCCGAACTGACGAAAMTGTTGTTGCTACATACAAGTGAGATGCATCACAATATGTTCCGAATCAGTACTTTCACGTCGTGTTTCTACTGTTATCGCTCTTTTCTGAAACAGATACTGATCACATTATAACTTGTAAAATTGAGTCGAAATGAAAAGAGACTCAACACTTCAAATCTCACCAAGCAAGGTAGATTCGTTGTCCAACATCGATCTAGAAATCACATCCGAATCGGTCGAACTAATCCTRAGCAAAGATTTCATGTCATACAACGGCAGCCTTCTACCCGACATAAGTGAACCGCCTTCCGAAAACGAATTGCCTTTTGTCAATCKTGATGAAGCAACAGAGCATGAAAGGTCACTTGTAACGCTGACCGAATCGTCATCATACCCATAAATATCCAAAAGACTTCGTTGCTGAGTATAMAAATTGGGACTTTTCCCGTTACCTCGCARTCGCCGCCGCAGTTGCGACTGTCGRCGGCGGTTATTACTTTCCTTGTCATTACCCGTGGGAGTTGTGCAGGCAGAAGAAGTTGTCGATTGCAATTCGTCATTGTCCAACAGTTCTTGCGACTGATATCGCTGCATCGTCAATTCCACCGTGGATACGTCCAATTCAATACTAAAATCGTCGGTGTCAAACTCAGATTCGTCATTGGAAATATGAGAACTATCATCTCGATCATCTATTGTGTCTTGCTTTTCCATAACGTGAGTTTCTAATAGAGTTGATTTTGGCGCAGCAATCGATGTTTTGTGTTCCTGTATTTCTTTTGTCGCTGACACTGATTCTACTTTCTCTTCCAGCTCACGAATTCGATTGTTGGCATCACTAAGGTCTTGGCGCAATTTGCAATTTTCTTCCAGTAGACGTTGAACAATATCGTCCGATGGTGAATCTTTCTGCGCTGGTGTATGGTTAAAGAACATCCCAATCTTTGAGCGTCCTATTTTCGATACTTTCTTCATTTCAGGGTAATTGTCCTCGTATTCGTGCAAAATTGCCACTCACTCTTCTATTGATGTATGGGATAACTGTGTTTGCGTCTGCCTATGTGCCTATGTACGTCCTACCCTCCATAAGAGAGTTGATTCGGTTTTAATTGGATCTGCAAGTGACTTCGCGGTGTGATACCGTGTCTTCCAGGAGATTCAGTATGGAAAACGAACATGAAGTTCGAGGTATTGTTCGTAAAATCTAAAATCGCATCCGTTGACACGTTGAAACGTACCTGTACAACAAACAAAAACTACGTAAAAGTACGTACCATACGGTACGGTATCCGTAATTAAGTCCGACAAGTCTTGCTTTGACATTCAGTCGTGGTTTCTTCAGTCGTGTTATGAAATGCGAACCGTACTAGACTTACGCTAACGAGTCCGTTCTTGTACGTGCTGCGAGTACTCGTTCTATGCTGGTAGGGTAGTACTCACGATTTTACAACTCGTCCAGTACGAGTAAGTACCACGTAGTCCCTACTAGGTCCCTTATGCGTTTTCGTGTATCCCACAGTTTGTGAGGCTGAAGGGCATCTGCTACCACTCCCTGCCCCAACTCACTCTTTATTGAAAACACATCCCGTACCGTAGTTGTGAATAGCAACAGAGAATTTCGCATGGTTCTCCTTYACTCGATGACAGCCCTGAAATGATACTGTTTTTGATACAAAATAGAGGGCTAGCCGTTTCTAATGGAATTGAGATCATACGATGGGTCGCAATTTTCGGTTTCATGTCAGTTTCTCTTCCGAACAACATGGCAGTAGGCAATAATGAACAAACGAAACTCAGGAGCGTGTGAGCTCCACGGAATGAAAATGATAGCAGAAGCGCCGTCAYTCCACTAATGTAATAGTATGACCAAGCTTTTCGTTACGGGCAGGCACGGCCCTCCTACAATTTCGTTTCGGACTTCCTTTCCGTGCTTCTCCATTATTTTCATTTTGGAGCACATCGCAACAATCAAATGTCACCATTCTATAATATCATGAAAGATGAACATCGCACCTCACCCGAAGCCACGGTCCTTCAGAACAGAGATCATTACGAAAGGATAGAAGACGGGGAATACGTGTATCAGTTCGTCAGGAAAGGAAGCGCTGCGAATACGATCGACTCAATCAAAACTTTCTCGTATGATAGCGACGACGATTTCGACTTGTGCACTAGCTTCGATCTTCACAATAATAACTGCTTCGCCATTGATGAAGGAGATAGCTGGGTGGCAACAGGTCTGAAACAGAAGCAAAGTATCCAGGAAAGAAAGGCATCTGTGATGAATACAGTACATTCTCCGATTGTTGTGACCCCAGAAAAATCTAAAACTTCCATCGCGGTGGAGACTTCTCTTGATTGTCTACCAACTGGGTTTGATGTCCTACGAGGATCCAACATCGCAAATGACGGGTATTTCTATGACCACACTGAGTTGGTAGCGACAAGAAAAGATGACTCGCTTTTGTTCCCTTCGATCGATGACCCTGAGTCGTCCGAGACTCGTGTTGCTGCTCCGGGAATTAGGCCTTCTCTATCCCATTTTCATCATACTATCTGTCGTGGTAAAAGCCTCGATGGTGAGTGTGATATTTCGAAGGCAACTGACAGTTTGAAATACGTCGAGATCCCACATGACCTTCATGATAGTGACGCGTATAGACTCCTTCGACCTTCACTGCCCTTGCCGGATTCGTTGAGAGCTACTCTATGCCTTTTGCTTCAAATGGAATTTTGGCATAGTGATAGAACGGATCAACTAGAATGCGCGTGTGAAATCGTGSATGAAAAGTTGCGTCAACACAAAAGCGATAGATTCTGTAATCGAAAAAGGGATGTAAACAAGAAAAGGAATGAAAATGACATCGAAGCAGCCGCAAAGAGTACGCAGAAGAGYATTTCTGGAGATATCATCGACGCCATGGTCGAAAGGATTGGGTCGTCGATTGATCTAGCTATTCTATTCGAGGCATCGGCCGAACTTAACAATACTCTGACTGCAACATATGACCGAAGGCTGGATATTTTTTTTCATCGGGGACTGAATAATGCAAGTTTAGAGCATCAGAGGAAACGACTCACGTTACGAGAATTGACAGGTAACCAAATATCCAACAAACTTGGTTCGACAAGTGGTAAGACGGCTCCGCACGATGCCTGTTTCGCCAGGAAGAAGCGCAAGGCTTCCGYTCACTCTGATGAGAATGACTGCGACAKAGTTACTTRTTCTGAGTTTGTACCAACAAAACTGCAGCTCGCGATTGCATTCAGTGCTTGTTCTAAAATGGTGACYACACCAACGAAATCTCGTGATTTGCTTTCTCTGGAAGATTACGTAAAAGGAGCGTCTAAGGATTTGGAAGACATRAGCAAAAATGAAATAATWAATTCTTGGAATACTCTGGTGAACATCTGGGATGGACGGGCACGAGAAATGCGACCACATRTTGAGTATAAATGCAAGTCCAAATCGAGCACTAACGGAGGAAACTCGAAGCAGAGGCGCTATAATTGAACGGAGTTAGGCATTTGTATTAAATCTATGTTCGTARATTTTCAAGCAACAAAAGTTGCTTCTACCGTCTCTCRACAAGATTGTTTACTTCACCACCATCACGTCATTGTATCGCTCGCTGCTTTTGTTTGAATTCTGAGTAACGGTCCAACGATACTTCCTGTGTTTGAACTGCCACGCTTGGTGGCAATTGCTGATAAAAAGTAGGATTATTCTGCGATATTAATGTAAATGGTGGAATGACCGTATCGTCTCCCAAGGTAACATTTGATTCTATGATGCAATTGTCTTTGATGATACATCGCTTGCCAATTTTCACGTTGTCTCCAATCGAAACCACTGATAATTATAGTTTGAAGGTCAAAATAACGGAGGATTGCAATGGAACAAAATCCAGATTAAGAGCAGCGAAACATCGCCAAGTGTGTGCAAGTATGATATGTCAGKAACGGACAAAAATGAAAATCGCATGTTGCAGATCTAGCCCACCAAGTTTTGATTCATCTGTCGTTCTCTGACTTACTGCTTCCAATGGCCGCCCCCTGAATGGTGCATTCCTTTCCGATGTGCGTGTGGCTTCCGATGATCATGGGCACTCGCTTGTCTTTTCGAAATGGAATTTCGGGTGGCTCGAGAGATGTCAACGCCCCGATTTCGCAGTATCTTCCAATTTTTACTATCTGAAGGTCCCCTCGAACCTTGACGCCCTCATGTAAAATAGACCGACCCTTTATTTCTACCCTTTTGGCTCCTTCGATGTCGGCCTTGCGAGAGACGTAGTTGTGTGTCATTGTCTTAATATATTCATCGACTGGAGTACCATCTCCGCCTGCGCTTGTCGCATCCGAAGCCATTTTGAGATAACTTTACAGGATATTTACTGACTGGTTTA